AGACCCTTTTCCCTCCACATCATTCAGATCCCCTAAATATTCAGGTCCCAAATCAGCTCTCCCCTCTAGCATTCAGACGCCAGGTCAGATCCGCCAGCATTCAATCCTCAGGTTGGCTGGTCCCGGCATTCAGATCCCAGATCAGCTCCCCAGACATTCAGATCCCAGGACAATCGTACAGAAATCAGGACGGCTGGGGGGAGGGTATGGTTACTGTATTCTGGGTTGGTCCTATTCAGTTATATAGTGACATCTGTTCTTTTGGATCTCTAAGAGTAAACTTTTATCTCTGCCTGTGTCCCCGCTGGGGGGATTCAATTTTTGCTGTAGGAAGTGCTAGGAGACCCAAAATTTGAAGCGGAGACATCAGAACAGGAAATTGGGGACGTCTTCTGTCGGGGACACCTGTTCCGATGACAACTGCCTAAGATGAAACGTCCCCTCACATTGGAGAGATTTTCCCTCCCTTGCCATTGTGTCTCCAGAACAGGAAGTAGAGAGGAATCTCCCAAAACAGCACAATCATATGCTGCGGTGCATTGGGATGTCATTCACAATGAATGGCACCCCAACGCATCTCACATATAGAGGGTGCACAGGCCGTGCGTTGTGGCAATGTTTGTTTTTGGTTGTAAAACCTCCTTTAGGTTGTAATATGTATATCCCCCCCCCCCCATATGTAATATAAGGGCCCATGCAAGCCCTCCATTTCATGTGAATGCCATCAGTCCGGCCCTCACCCTACATAACAGACCTAAAGCGGATTGTACATTCCGATTGCATCGTTTGTGGTCAGCTATCAACCATCTACAGGCGTGCATGCGTCGGGACCTGAGGCCGCTGCGAGCCACACCACGCACAACCGGCAGCGACTTGCAGACCCATGCGATCTCCTGTAGGCATGGCTGGGGTCCCTCCAGGGCGTAGTGATCTTTTGGGGCAGCCTGTGATATTTGACTGATTGGCCACAGGGACACACCAATGTGAAAAGTAGGGGGGGGGGGGGGGCTGGCAGGGTGTGAGTTACAAATGATGAGATTGCGGGGCGGAACGTCAAGGAATGGGTGAATTTTGGGCACGCTCTATAAATAGATCTTCTGTCATTCGCACTGTGTTTGTCTTGGTGAGGACGCGGAATTGGCATGATTAAAAATAACCAGTGTCGCAGAAGTTCCCTTTTAAGGTATTGCAGATCTCTCGTTTTCACCGCTCCATCCAAAACTAAAGAATAAAAACTGGTTTTACAAATCTCTCCTCTTCCTGTGTGGTCACACTCCGTACACCGGTGACACCACATTCTCAGCCCGCATATGGCACTGCTCTGGCTCCTGACACACGCCTGAACTCTGTGGCTGCATTAGCAGAGAAGGGTTTGGCAGGGGACTCACTTGAGACCCCCTCTGTCGGGAGAGTTGACCACCGCTAGCCTTAGATTTGAGTGGCGTTGTGCTTCAGTTCTGACAGATGTGGTACCTGACCAACCAGGAAACTTATTATAAGGCCGGTACTTCTCCATAGGAAAAGTGGCAGCGTTACTGAGTGACTCCCTCCTGATCTCCATGTTCTCTGCTTGCCCAAAGGTTTCCTCCATGGTGGGCATTGGATGCCAGTCAGACCAAGAACATTCACAGGCACATGATACCCTCCCCAAATATAGAGGAGGGAAAGGGACATGTCATCCCCATACCATCCTCAGGGCAAACAATGTTACCCCAGCCGCCCTCCAGTTCCTTCAGACAGCTGGCTGAGGGTGATGAGAAGAGAATGTTCTTAGTCTGGTCACCGATAGGACAACATAGGAGGAGAGATCTGGCCGTCCTCATCCTCACCACCAGGATCCGCTGCCACCTCCTTCCCGACTCAGCAGGGATGTCAAGCAGCGATATTTCTGTACGGATACCCATAATCCTCCGAACAGACGCAACATCCTTCACACACCATGGAAACTGCTAATGTATGGGAAA